AATAAACTTATTTTTTTAAATACATTTCTAATTACCTGTATAGTCGTTATAATGACGACAGTTTTTTGAATGTTTGGTTTATAATCGAGACTATCAGACTACCCACATTAAATCTTTAAATGATACTAGAGTACATAATAGTTTTATATTTAGACACTATTTTCATGTATAAAAATTGTAGTTAAATTTTTTAACATTATTTGCAGTATTAAAATATGAAACAATCACTTATGTATTTAGTATCATCATATTTTAGTACTTTACTACTGTAGAAAATAATAATGTGGGTTACACCACCTTTGCGCCGACAGCTTCAATTATGACAGATGTTACAGAGGTCCGATACGTTTCAGCTGGTGACTGCTCAAATTAACGAATAATTGAATCAATTTATTTTAAATTCGCGAGATAAATAATTGTATATATTTTATAATAATTAAAAATTCATTCTTGCTTCAAGTACTTACGTTAAGTTTGTTTTTTATTAAGAGTACTGTCACTTGCTGAGATTTATTTGCCTAGTTATTCTGTATTACTCAAGTTTTTGACATATTTTTTTGATTAGTACAGAGTATTCAGTACAAAAATAAGAACTAAACTTAGAGTCGATTTTACTCGTAATGCAAATCATATACTAAAATAATAGGTAGGAGCAGCTCCTACCGATAATCTGAGCTATCAGCGAAAGTGGTGTAACCCACATTTAATTTTTTTCTATAATATTACTTTAAACGATACTAAAAACATATTTTTTTATATTTGGATGGTTTTTCATGTTTATATTTTTTATTATTATACATATATTTTTACTATATATAAATTGAATTTAGCTAATTTGAAACACTATCTTACATATTTTTTATAACGCACACATTCATAGCCCCGTACTAAGAAAACTCTGTATCGCGGGTGTGACGGCCATACCCAAATTACACCCAAACTAACGAGAGAAATAAATGTAGGCCATACAAATATTTCTCCCGTCCCGAGAATCGAACACGGGTCTTCTGCGTGGCAATACAGCATGGTAAATTTCATGGGGTTACACCACTTTTGAGCTGATGGTCCAATTTATAAATATAGGTCGCGCTCTATGTGTAGACACTGGCAACATTTTTTTTATAGGAAACATGTTTTCCATAATTATTATTTTACAAATTTGTGAATTCAATTCTTTACATTAAGGCTCCATCACACGTGCGCAGAGTCGAAGCGTCTTGTTTTTCAACTACCACGCATGGCGACCCGATCGTCCGGTTCACAGTGTGGTCGGCGCGCAAGAAACTCACGGCGACGTGCGAAACTGCACGACTTCAACCAAGCGTCGACGCGCGAAGGCGCGCGTCGCAACTGCGGAAGATCCGCACGCTTTTTCATATCTGTTTATGTTTCTGCTTTTGCAACTTTTATAACGGAATTTCATTGGAAGTTTATAATGTTCGCGACGGATCAGACACGCAATATTTGGCGGTGGGGCGCGCGTATCTCGGCACTTCTGTGCTGTGTCCCAACCAAACACAAGGTCTGTTTGTAACTATTTAATTGAGTTCTATATAGTATTTACACTTCCGTTTCCGCATCCCCTTCCGATTCCGTTTTTGGTAAGATTTACTTTTGACATCTGTCGCCGTTATGATTATGACACTTCCGTTGCATCACTATACTAAATCCGTGTTGCAATTGACTCGGTTTATGTTCTGTATGTATGTTTAAGTCACGTAGATATGTAGTATATATAGATAGTCACAGAATGGCAATTTATGCTACGCTAGCTAGCACGTGTATCATTTTTTAACACGATTAGAAAAACGACGTAAATATAGGCACTCAGTTATCAGGCACATGAGGGATGGACTATCTAGCACATATCAAGTGATACAATAAGCAAAATGTAGTAAAGCTGTTAAAAAGTTAACTACAAAACATGGTATGTATTGAACCACAAATGGAATTTAATTGCTTCTGAAATACGGATAATATCGATTTTAATTTTGGATACCAACTAATTAACTAATCAAGTTAATTATATTTTGTGTACACGATTTAGAAAAAATTTCGTCCAAAAATACCCAATTGTATGTAATTATTAACCGACTTCAAAAAAGGAGAAGGTTCTCAATTCGACTGCTTTTTTTATGTAGGTATGTTACGCGATTACTCCGGATTTGTGAACCGATTTTGATGATTCTTTTTTATTGGAAAGAGGGTACCTCAGTATTAATCCCAATTAAATTTAACGAAAATATTCCACCTCTAAAAGTGGCAAACTAGGGGATGAATCCGGTTTCGCGCATTTTCCGGTAACCGATTTCAATACAATTTGGCAAATACATGTAATTCCACAAACTGTTGAGGACGATTTTTTTACAAAAAAGTTATTTAAATACAACTATATATATAACTATATTATATTATTATATATTTATTTATATTTATATATTATATTATTTATCATGAACTCATGACAGTTGGGGGAGAAATTACGTACGTATTGTTCAGCTGTAAGCATGTAGTACGCCGGCTTATTGCAATAAATCATTAATTGCCATATAAATTATATGGCAATAATTGACTTCTTGCAATAAGCCGACGAATATAAAGTTCTTCTAGTTCGAAGACTTCGTGGTTATTCACCAAAAAATTATCATTAGCTTTCTTACGTCGTAAACTTAACATTTTGAGCCCACACCAACATGTTGCTTAAATTGGACATTCCCAACGATCGTACATATTTTCGGTTCGGCGTATCAATGGTGGTGAATTTATTTAGGGACTCACCACATTTATTCACACTGAATCGCCTTGAGCCGGACAGAAAAACCTTCATATTCACGCAGTAAGAGCGAAAACACGTTGCGCGTTTCGCTTCCGCTCGGATCGCCGATGCGCAACGCACAACGTAATTTTCACTCTTATTACATGGGTATAAAGCTGCCTTTCCATTAGAGATGTGCGAGATAGCGAGGCGGTGTGAGGATGTGTAGCGGCGCTGTGAAACGGTGTGATGTTTTCCACCAAAGTTGGGGCGCGGGTACGGTGTGGTGGGGTGAGCGTTGGCGATGAGTCAGTGTCAGTTAGTGTCATACTTTGAGTAGCTCTAGTTTCCTACACCGTTTTGCACACATTCCTCGCACACATTTCTCGTTATTGTGTAAGTACAAATACATAGCTCCGCTAACCCTTTTCCACCAGAGCTGCGCTAAGCGAGGCTAGGAAAATGAAGTAATCCTATTGGTGGATTTTTTCTTCGCACACCGCCTCGATATGTCGCACATCTCTAGTGGAAAGGCAGCACATCTCTAGTGGAAAGGTGGTCTAAAGGTTTTTCCGACCGGCTTAATGCGATTCCGTATCGATAAGTGTGGTGACTCCATTAGAAGTATGTAAAAGTTTTTCTATTTTTATTAAATAGCTATTATTAAATATAAATTTTAGGTACGTATTTAAAAAAATACTTCCCGGTACGAGATTGAATTATCTTCTTACTTACTTCTTATCATCTTTATACATTTTGAGAGCTTTCTTACAAACGTTGAACACGACAAATGATGTTTGCATGTTATATTATATAAATAATCCTGTACTATGCTACCGACTTTCATTTCAATTCAATTTTTGTGATCCTATACACTAACTAAGTAGGTAGGTACATAGGTGCATTCGCGTTGAAGCGTACAATTTTATAAATACTAATAAAGAATTAAAAAATTCTTACGTATCAATGTTGCGCTTTCGCCTTTAAGAGGATAGTCTTCACAGTTCATTACTTACTGTTCTATTAATAAGCATTTTCTAAGTTTACGCAGTGGACTTTTTGTCAAAATTTTTCAGGCAATGAAAGGATCTATACATTGACTTCCTTTCCTAAATCTTGTTTGTACATTCCATAATTTCTCTTCAGTTTCATTTACAACCTTTACAATTTTTTTCACAAAGGAGGCCGACGCAGCGAAGATTTTTTGGTCTTGCTGTGACCTTGTCCCCGTTTGCCGGGGAACAATCACGGATTTGCTATTGGTACTTTACCCTTCTTCCATAACATTAAAAAGGCTGTCTGGTGCCTCGATCGTTAAGTCACCTTAGTAGAGCTCCTTTTGAAAGAGTTCGTCCATGGAAATACTGCCACATTACCTATTTCTGCCCCCAAGCAGTAATGTGACCATTACTGCGTTTCGGTTTTGAAGGGAAAACTTATGTCTCAGGGTGACGGTCGCAGCGGCAGTACTCCTCAAATCTTTGTCATTTAAAGCACTAAGTGGCACTGCACTGCCATGAGAGGCCTGCATCTGTTACTTAAGATACATGAGTTAAGGGTTAACTTTAACTGAAAAAATTGATACTTTTTCGAAGATTGAAACATTCCCCATTCTTTAGCCCTTTACCCATACCAATAATTTTACGTTTTGTTTTTCAATAATTGCACAAAATCTTTGTAAAATAAAAGCAAATTACTAAAAAAACTTTGAAGAGCGATTTTCGTCAGACACGCGAGACACGGCAGTGCAACTGTTATGGACAGGCCTGTCGCTTACCACCAGGCGCACGCCTTATTCGTCCAGTTACTCGGTTTAATTAAAAAAACCTAGTGATATCGTATCACAGCTGCTGCATTTCAGTGCTTACAAATTTTCAATATAGATAGAGAATCTCGTTGTTGTCTCTAGCTATAATGTTATCAAATAAGTAACGAGCCCGCAAAGCCTGGAAAGACCCTTCATTCCCACACTTCGCAACCACGACAAATTTAGATATATTAATATTTTGCATTCGATAGATTTCACATAATTGTATGTTCTTAAACTGGGTAACTTAAGGATAAAATCATATGAAAATGAGTTAACCGATATTATTTTCGTAACAATAATAGAAGTCTAAGAATAATCATGATTAATTTTTCAAATTTATATGTACAGATTTCTTTAAAATAAATTTCATTACTTTACGAAGTTCAAAATAAACATAGAGAAAATTCCTGCCCTGAAAAACAGGAACGTCTAAAAATCTTAAAAATAAAATCATCTCACTATAATTTTTCAAAATATAAAAATATTATAGAGGATAAAATCTATAATCAGGGCACGGCTAAGCAAAATGGAAACAAAAATTTCTAAATTAAGTATAAAAATCATTTGAAAAAGAGGCACCTGGTATTATTTATTATTCGGGATAAAAATAGAACTAAACCAATATAACTACTTGGACTGATTTGTTCCCATAAGTTCTATTAATATTGAAATATATTTAACAGAACAACTGGGACAAAAAGTTCCAGTAGTTCTATAATACAACTAAAGAGAACTAGTGGGAACGAAGGGGAAAGACTACCCTCTTAAGAAAAACGAAAGTAATAACATGGACTGCACAACAACGACTACTTTATAGCTACTTAATCTATTAATATAGTTTTATTTCATTCTCGACACAAACATGCATCAAGTTGTTCAGTTCTTCGAGTGTCGCTTGGCCAGTTTCATATTTATTCATAAATTCCGAGGTTTTAGCAAGTTGTTCATTTTCCATGTCTCTAAATATTTTTGATAGGTTCTTGTTGTTGGTCTTTATCACGGACTCGGCATGCAGTTTGTACAAGCGATGCTCCCTTTTTGGCTGGTTAAATAAGAATTTGGCGGGTTAATGAATTATTCAGTTGGCATAAGGGTTGGACGCCACTTGGCAGTAGATACGAGCGCCGATAACCAACCAACAAACCAACCGGCGACGGCGCGCCGACGAAAAACTTTCGGCGGCGGCGGCGTTTCTGCGGCGCGAGCGCGACCATGAAACGAATTTGTATAACGGTATTTGTTTTTACAAAGAATACTTTTTAAAGGAAAAAATAAAATAACGTATTTTCTATAGTAATCAAATTTTTACCAGTTCGATCAGACGTTGCGATCGTAAACATGCGCACGCTTCCGTATTGTGTATGCGCAGTGAAAATGGCGACGCCAGAAATTGACAAATTAATGTTTTCAACTAAAACATCTTCGAATATAAAGTCACTAAGACTTTTCTTACAAATGTCAATTTCGGCGTCGCCATTTTCATTGCGCGTGCGTACAATCGAAGCGCCCGATCGAATTGAACTGAACGGCGCGCCGATTTCATTTGTCGGCGGCGGCGGCGCGCCGACGCGGTGCTCGTATCTACTTGGCAGCACGCTTCGGCATCGGGCATTGCTGGGGACGAATCTTCTCTAAGAAGAGGGCCATAGCCTACAACTCGGTTCAATGCGGTTCGGGGATTTCACAGATTCATGCAGGTTTAATCACGCTGTCTTCCTTCACTGTCAGAGGGAGGAATTGCCACTAAACATTTACAAATGTACGTAACTTAGAAATTAATGTCAAAGGTGCATACAGCCATTAGGTGTCGCATCGGCGACCTATCAATATAAGCAATTGTTCTCCCACTGGGCTGCCACCGCTCTGCTGACGAAATTTAGTATAGAAGGACTTGCTCTACAAATGAAGGAATAAATTATAATAACAACATTTGTTCATAATAATTTTCAACCAGGGGCGGAGGAAGCTGTCCTAAAAACCCCTTTCCTTAGAGCAGACCGGTGCTTAGGAGTTAGACGTATAATAATATGTATATTAGACAACATCAGATACGTTCTGCCGTGCTTACAATATTAACAGTAAGTACGTTTGAAATACAATCAATTAATTTGGGCGATTAACACACTGCACCGCACCCCGCTACGGTGTGCGGGATGCGGAATCACGCGCGCGGTAGCGGAGACGCAGATCTGCGTCAACGCGCGGTTTAACCTGCGCGGGGGCAGCGGTCTAGCGGCCCTGCGCCACTCAAAGTACTCGCTTCGTAGTCGATCGCCGTAGTGATTGCACATGTAGCTGAGATCCTTCTTTGACAAGAATGGTTAATAATACAGAACTCATTCAGGACGCTGCAGTTATACTGTCCTGTGTCCTGTGTGTGTTTTTGTTTACTCAATTAAAAAGACACCGAAGATAACATTCAACTTGATTACAAAGATTTAAGAAAATATAAAGATTAATTTTTCAACTACACACGAATGTCAACTGAATCCTTTGATTATTTGTTAGGGAACATCCGAACGACAATTACTGGAATAGACGCAAATTGATTAAAAATCCGCGGGGGCGCGGTACAACCGCGCGCGCTGATAAGCGTTGTCAGTGTTTTCGACGGCGCGTGTTTTCCATACAAACTGAGGTACTTCAGTACAACGTTAAAAAACGCAGTGAAGTGTGTTAATCGCCTTAGCATCAGTTAGAGCTCCTTGTGAAAGAGTTCGTCCATGGTAGTACTGCCACCTTACCTATTTCTGCCGCCAATCAGTGATGTTAGCATTACTGCGTTCCGGTTTTGAAGGGTAAGGTCGCATTTTATTCGACACAAATTTCATCGTGCTCACCCCGCGCGTTCAAAGAGCGGAGTCCACGTTGCCATCGCGCAGCGACCGCGTGCGTCTAACTGTCATGGCAAAATACGCTCTATTTGTTTAGCTTTTACGTTTTAATTTAAATTAGCGTTCCGGACACGCGGGCTCGCCTGGCTTGAATTTGGTCCATGCGACGGCCCGGGCGACGACCGCGCCGTAATTTTATTGAGAGAAATTTAAATGTTGTTGCATAATAAATAGAATTCAGATTCGCCATTAATGTGCATGAAGGCGTGGTAAGCGGGTGGTCGCCGCGCGAAAACTTTATTCTCGTTTAACTGGGCGCTTAGGGTGCCGGTGAAATTACAGGCTCATGGGATTTTTACATATAGACTTACTGTTTTTATCGTAAGCACGGCAGCGCTGCTTAGGTCCCAAAGTTAGTAACAACGATTTTATCAGAAACACCCAGACCCGAGACAATATGGAAAAGTTTTTTTCTACATTACTCGGCCGAGGATCGAACCCGGGATCTCAGATATGGCGACACGATGAAAACCGGTGTGCAAGCCACTTGACCACAGAGGTCGTCAAAATATAGTTTTTTTTTTAAATGGGACAGTATGGGGAAACCCGAAATCATAGCAAATGCAAAGAAACTATATTAGGAACCTTTAAGTCTTTATTGTGAAAACAATTCTGGCATTGTCAATTTTTTGGTCAAACGTGAGTTGTCCATACTAACGAATCAGAATGATTAAAATTTATTTTAGTACTGATTAACTCAGTTTCATGATCATTTCATTGCATCGATTATACGATGTTTCATTGTACACAAAAAATCGGAACAACAGAAGTTGGTCAAATTTTATAAAATGTTTTTCATACAAAAGGAATAAAATTTTTTTTAGACAATTTTTTTGTAATGCTAATAAGACAGTTTCCTTGCATCTTTTATGGGTCGGATTTTCCCATACCGTCCCATTGAAAAAAAAACCTGTATTTATTATAGAAGCAATGTTGATGTGTGCTGCTAAGTGAAGTCCAACCCTATATCTGCTTTTGATACGTAATAGTGAGATAGTAAAAAAAGGAATTGGTGTCACCGATGTTGATATAAATCTTATTTAAAAACTTCATAATTACCTCGGCAGGACTCTCCGTGTGGGGCGATACTTGGGGATTAGGTGTAAACACGAACGGTTTGAAGTAAGACATGCTCGGATCTGGTGTAGCTGTGAACCAGTGTACGCTCGCGATTTTGTCAATGCTAGAAACCTGAAAATAAGAACATGCTTTCATAGTGAACTATACACTATTTTCATAAGGCGTTAAGGACTGCAGTCCTTTTAAATGTTTACTAGAATTTCGGTGATACAATTAGCGCTTTCATTACCACATGCGGCCAGGAGGTAATCCGTTAAAAATATCATTGTTAGTTACCAGTAATTTTAATAAGATTAAAAGAGATTGCGAATCAAACGTTCAATCGTCATTGAACTAAACCATTGGATGTATATATTTTATTGAAATGACAATAGGTAATAGTTTATAGAACGGTTGCCATGCCGGACTGCTCCGCGGAAGGTCCCGGGTTCGATTCCCGGGCCGAGAGAAATATTTGAATGGCCTACATTTATTTCTCTCGTGAATTTGGGTGTAATTTGTGGTTGTCTACGTGTGCGGCCATGGCACCCGCGACAGGGTTTCCCTAGTGCGGGGCGCTATGCTGAGTGTGTGCGTTATTATTATAAAAAACTATGACATGAGTTTAATTGTTTAACAGTTATGATTTTACAATAATAGAAACAGAGGTCACCTTTCAAGCATCCACTGTTCTATAACATGTGTAAATTTAATCTTGTTTTTTTTCCACAAATTACACCCAAACCCACGAGAGAAATAAATGTAGGCCATACAAATATTTCTCCCGGCCCGGGAATCGAACTTGGCACCTATGCGTGGCAGTCCGGCATGGTAACTGTTCGGCTACGGAGGCAGTTTACCTAAGTTACCTTTATAGATAGTTAAGTTACCTAAGACTTGGCTAGATGTGGTCATTATTATAATAACAGACAATGTAACTCCTTCGAATCGAACAACGATTTAAACTGCTATTGTAGTTTATTCAACTTCTGTTGTTATCCTGTTCTTCTGCTGTTGCGTCGTGCGAACTAGCAAGTATACAATAGCAATAGCTGTGAGAGAGAAATGGTGCTAGTCAAATGATTTGACAATGATACAATTTGCAAATATAATTATTATAAACGTTCAGTGCCGAACATAAACTTCTGTTTCTCATTTTTTTTTATTGTTTTCTATTTATTATCGTATTGTTATAACTGTAAGTCACATATTGGACGCTACGATTTTGTGCTTTATGTAATTGCAATGTTGTCGATTTTAATATTTGATATAAAACTACATAACAACAGGATAACTGACAACAGCTCATAATAAAAGTTATCGAAAAATAACAGCAGTATGATTCATTATTGACAAATAGCCGTTATTGCAATGGATGTATAATAGTTTAATATACGAATTGTAATAGCAATGAAGCACTTGACACTCTAGATAAGTACACCTTAATTTTATTGAAATGGTTATATTATAGTATCTATTACCTGACTTCCCTGTGTAGGAAAGGTGTCGTCGCAACCTCGACAAATGCGGCTTTCCTTGTGTCGCAAAATTTCAAACATATCTTTAACGTTGAAAGCTAAGGATGCACTTTTCTGTTTTAGCAGCTTTTCTCCCTCCCTTTGCCTTAGCTCATCGCCACCCGACGAAAAGCATTTGGTGAAATTAAACTCAGTCTGAAATGCCATAAAACGAATACATTTTAATTCTTTAGCAGATCTAGCGACAATATCCTAATACAATACAAAAATTTTATAATACACCAAAATGGGAACAAATACAAACGAATTCCGCCTTACGTGGTCATGTGGCTTGCACACCGGTTTTCATGGTGTAGGAAATAAATTTTCTATATTGTCTCGGGACTCGGTGTTTGTGGTACCGTTGTTCTTTCTGATTTCCATAACACAAATGCTTTATTTACTTACTTTGAGATCGGAGCGACCTATATGTACGTCTAATTTACATATAAATAATTTAGAAAAAGTATATACCGTCGGCTTATTGCAAGAAGTCACTACTATACATACTACGTACACTAACTGCCATATAAATGTAATAAATAAAAAAAAAAAAAAAAAAAAAATGATTTGGCAATTAATGACTTCTGCAAGCAGAATAAGCAGACGATACAAGGTTTTTGTAAAATACTAACAACCTCACATACTACCTGGCCTTAGCAATATAGACCTCACGGGCTATATTCCTAATATTATAAACAATAACTTTTGTTCCATGACTACTAATAATTCATCAGATTTTACTTACGTAGAAAAATAAAAAATTGTTTCAGTGGATCGCCCTTAGTGTGGTAACAAAAAAGTGCTTGCGTAACAAAATGCAAAAACGTGGAGGGGGTCGTCGGGACGCTTGCACGTTTGAACAACAACCTTACTACCAAATACAGATGAAAAGTATTAGATAGTACAACTTAAAACTTAGACTTAAAAGTTTATTTTCGGTAAATTTTACTTTTTTGTAAAAAGTCTTGGAAAAAAGCTGTATTTAATATAGTTCTGTGAGGTTGTCAGCATTTTCATACAGTATTTACAGTCATAATATAACCCTTGTATATAATACAATTATTATATTATACTTGTATATCACAACCGACCTCAAACGTCATTCGTCTCCTATATAGATTTTAAGGCTTTCGTGGTTATTCACTAAATGATTATCACTAATTTCAGGGTTCTTATCACGGTATGACTTCTTTTTATTTTCCCTATATTTCGGAACGGTTGCATGCTCCGTGGTCACGGGTCGACTGGTCGGCGGCAGATGACAGCTTTAAGAGCAGACATATCTGTCTACCCTCTTGCTCAAAATAAGAAGAAGTCATACCGTGGTAAAAAGCTAGAAATTAGTGATAATCATTCATTTCCCAGTTGGCCACCCTTAGAGGTGGAATATTTTCTTCAAAAATAGGACCACTACTGAGGCATCCTCTTTCCAACAAAAAAAGAATCATCAAAATCGGTTCGCAAATTTAGAATTATCGCGTAAAATACTTAAAAAAAGAATGTAATTGAGAACCTCCTCCTTTTTTGAAGTCGGTTAAAATATATATTTATATATTAAAGTAGGAAAAGTTTATACGACCTATGTCCGTTGAGCGGATTGTCAGACATTGACCATTTATATCGACAATATTTGCACAACGTGACTTCTTTTCGCCAAGGTTGTGTAGTGTATATAATATAAGTTTCACTCCTCGCTATAAGGCTTCGCGAAAACGGACTTAAGTTATTTTTAAAACAGCGGCTGAAGAGCTTACTTTTTAAACCTTTTTTACGGGCTGGATAATTTTATTGTAAACAGCCAGTTATCATTAAAGACAGCGGCATGCTAAAATAACACAATTCACACGGGACTTGTCAACTTATGTCTCAGTGTGGCGGGCGCAGTGGCTGTGCCCCAGATCTTTGCGATCTTTGCCCCAGGCACTGCAACTGTTATGGACAGGCGTGTAGCTTACCATCAGGCGCACGACTTATTCGTCCCTTCACTAGATATTATTAAAAAAACTCAATTAAAATAATTATAAAATATTTTAAATTCTTTTGAATTTAATGGGCGATATGCAGTGAACCCTACGTTATCAAATACCAACACCTAAAGAGAAGTTACAGACGGCGTCTTTTAGCAGTGATTGCATCACTACACTTGCGATTTAAACGCGCGACTGCATCGATACAAACGCGCGATTGCATCGATGCAAACGCCTATAAATCCCAAGTGTAACGATGCAATTGCGCGTTTGTATCGACGCAGTCAGCGCGCGTATTTAGAGGTAGACGATTAGTGACTGCATCGCTAGTAAAAGTCGCCTTGTGTAACCGCCCAAAAATATATGGTTACAGATCAAGACAGAAACACTTATCAGACAGTCGAAGTAAAAAACATTGAAAACCAGTTTGTTTTGAAACCAATTAACACTCGATTAAGAGTATCCTTGTGGTGTTAAATGAATCTTTAAAACACCTTTGGATTTCAGGCATGAATTGTGAACTTAATGTTGGCTACACATCAT